AATAGTGGGAGACTTTAACCCTCCACTGTCAATATTAGACAGATCAACCAGACAGAAAATCAACAAGGATATCCAGGGCTTGAACTCAGATCTGGAACAAGCAAACCTGATAGACATTTACAGAACTCTCCACCCCAAATCCACAGAATATACATTCTTCTCAGCACCACATCACACCTACTCTAAAATTGACCACATAATTGGAAGTAAAGCACTCCTCAGCAAATGCAAAACAACTGAAATCATAACAAACAGTCTCTCAGACCACAGTGCAATCAAGTTAGAACTCAGAATTCAGAAACGAACCCAGAACCGCACAGCTTCATGGAAACTGAACAACTGGCTCTTGAATGTTGACTGGATAAACAATGAAATAAAGGCAGAAATAAAGAAGTTCTTTGAAACCAATGAGAACGAAGACACAACATGCCAGGATCTCTGGGACACATTTAAAGCAGTCTCTAGAGGAAAATATATAGCAATAAGTGCCCATATGAGGAGAATGGAGAGATCCAAAATTGACACCCTATCGTCAAAATTGAAAGAGCTAGAGGAGCAAGATAAAAAATCCTCAAAACCTAGCAGAAGACAAGAAATAACTAAGATCAGAGCTGAACTGCAGGAGAGAGAGACACGAAAAACCCTTCAAAAAAATCAATAAATCCAAGAGCTGGTTTTTTTTGAAAATATCAACAAAATAGAACACTAGCCAGATTGATTAAAAAGAAAAGAGAGAACAACCCAATAGATGCAATAAAAAATGATAAAGGGGAAATCACCACAGATTCCACAGTAATCCAAACCATCATCAGAGAATATAACAAACAACTCTATGCACATAAACTAGTAAATCTGGAAGAAGTGGATAAATTCCTGGACTCCTGTGTCCTACCAAGCCTAAACCAGGAGGAAGCTGAAACTATGAATAGACCAATAACAAGGGCAGAAGTCGAGGTAGCAATTAAGAGCCTACCACACAAAAAAAGCCCAGGTCCAGACGGGTTCACAGCCGAACTCTACCAGACACACAAAGAGGAGCTGGTACGATTCCTTCTGAAACTGTTCCAAATAATCCAAAAAGAAGGAATCCTACCCAAATCATTTTATGAGACAAATATCATCCTGATACCAAAACCTGGCAGAGACCCAACAAGAAAAGTAAACTTCAGGCCAATATCCATGATGAACATAGACGCAAAAATCTTCAATAAAATATTGGCAAGCCGATTGCAACAGCAAATCAAAAAACGTATCCATCATGATCAAGTAGGATTCATCCCGGGGATGCAAGGCTGGTTCAACATACGCAAGTCTATAAACGTAATTCACCACATAAACAGAACCAAAAACAAAAACTACATGATTATCTCAATTGACGCAGAGAAGGCATTCGACAAAATTCAACTGCCCTTTATGCTAAACACCCTCAATAAACTCGGTATCGATGGAACATATCTCAACGTAATAAAAGCTATTTATGACAAACAAACAGCCAATATCATACTGAATGGGAAAAAACTGGAAGCATTCCCTTTGAAATCTGGCACTAGACAAGGATGCCCTCTTGCACCACTCCTATTCAATATAGTACTGGAAGTTTTAGCCAGAGCAATCAGGCAAGAAAAAGAAATAAAGGGTATTCAAATAGGAAAGGTGGAAGCCAAATTGTCTCTATTTGCAGACGACATGATAGTATACCTAGAAGATCCCATCGCCCCAGCCCCAAAACTCCTTAAACTGATAAGCAACTTCAGCAGAGTCTCAGGATATAAAAATCAATGTGCAAAAATCACAAGCATTCTTATACACCAATAACAGACTTAAAGCCAAATCAAGAACGAACTGCCATTCACAATTGCTACAAAAAGAATAAAATACCTAGGAATACAACTCACAAGGAACATAAGGGACCTCTTCAAGGAAGACTCCAAACCACTGCTCAACGAAATAAGAGAGGACACAAACAGATGGAGAAACATTCCATGTTCATGGTTAGGAAGAATTAATATCGTGAAAATGGCTATACTGCCCAAAGTAATTTACAGAATCAACGCTGTTCCCATCAAGCTACCATTGACTTTCTTCACAGAACTGGAAAAACCCACCATGAACTTCATATGGAACCAAAAGAGAGCCCGCATAACCAAGTCAATTCTAAGCAAAAAGAACACAGTGGGGGGCATCACACTACCAAATTTCAAACTATACTACAAGGCTACGGTAATCAAAACAGCATGGTACTGGTACCAAAACAGAGATATAGACCAATGGAACTGAACAGAGGCATCAGAGACAACACAGCATATCTACAACCATACAATCTTGGATAAACCTGACAAAAACAAGCAATGGGGAAAGGATTCCATGTTTAATAAATGGTGTTGGGAAAACTGGCTAGCTATGTGCAGAAAGCAGAAACTGGACCCCTTCCTGACACCTTACACTGAAATTAACTCCAGATGGATTAAAGACTTAAACATAAGACCTGGCACCATAAAAACCCTAGAAGAAAATCTAGGCAAAACCATTCAGGACATAGGAGTAGGCAAGGACTTCATGAACAAAACACCAAAAGCATTGGCAACAAAAGCCAAAATAGACAAATGGGACCTAATCAAACTCCACAGCTTCTGCACGGCAAAAGAAACAGTCACTAGAGTGGATCGGCAACCAACAGAATGGGAAAAAATGTTTGCAGTTTACCCATCTGACAAAGGGCTGATATCCAAAATTTACAAAGAACTCAAACAGATTTACAGGAAAAAAACAAACAAGCCCATTCAAAAATGGGCAAAGGATATGAACAGACACTTTACAAAAGAAGACATATATGAGGCCAACAATCATATGAAAAAATGCTCATCATCACTGGTCATCAGAGAGATGCAAATCAAAACCACATTGAGATATCATCTCACGCCACTTAGAATGGCAATCATTAAAAAATCTGAGACAACAGATGCTGGAGAGGATGTGGAGAAAAAGGAACACTTTTACACTGTTGGTGGGAGTGTAAATTAGTTCAACCATTGTGGAAGACAGTGTGGCGATTCCTCAAGGCCTTAGAAATAGAAATTCCATTTGACCCAGCAATCCCATTACTGGGTATATATCCAAAGGACTATATATCATTCTACTATAAGGACACATGCACATGAATGTTCATTGCAGCATTGTTTACAATAGCAAAGACCTGGAATCAACCCAAATGCCCATTGATGATAGACTGGATTGGGAAAATGTGGCACATATACACCATGGAATATTATGCAGCAATCAGAAATGATGAGTTTGTGTCGTTTGTAGGGACATGGATGAATCTGGAGAACATCATTCTCAGCAAACTGACACAAGAACAGAAAATGAAATACCACATCTTCTCACTCAGAGGCGGGTGATGAAAAATGAGAACACATGGACACAGGGAAGGGAGTACTAAACACTGGGGTCTATTGGGGGAAAAGGGGAGCGCCAGCGGTGGGGGGAGCTGGGAGGGCCAGCCTGGGGAGAAATGCCAAATGTGGGTGAAGGGGAGAAAGGAAGCAAAACACACTGCCATGTGTGTACCTATGCAACTGTCTTGCATGTTCTGCACATGTACCCCAAAACCTAAAATGCAATAAAAAATTAAAAAAAAAAAAGAAAATGTGATACATATATGCCATGGAGTACTACACAGCTAAAAGAAAGAATGAGGTCATTTCTTTTGCAGCAACATGGATCAAGCTGGAGACCATTATTCCTTAGTGAAATAATGCAGGAACAGAAAACCAAATATCACATGTTGTTACTTGTAAGTAGGAGTTAAACACTGACTACACATGGAAACAAGGAAGGGAACAAGACTCTGAGGTCTACTTGAGAGTGGAGCATGAGAGGAAGGAGAGGATCAAAAAACTACCTCTCAGGTACTCTGCTCAATGCCTAGGTAATAAAATTATCTATACACCAAACCCCCATGAAATGCAATTTATCTAGTGACAAACCTGCACATGTACCCTTGAACCTAAAACTTCAAAAAAAGGAAATACTGCATTGAATCTATAGGTCACTTTGGGTAGTATGGACATTTTAACAATAAAAATTCTTCTAACCCATGAGCATGAGATATATTTCCATTCATTTGTCTGTTCTTCGATTTATTTCATCAATGTTTAGTAGTTTTCAGTGTATAGAAGTTTCACTTCCTTGGCTAAATTTTCTCCTAAGTATACTATTCTTTTCTGATATAAATGGGACTGTTTTCTTAATTTCTTTTTTTGGATAGTTTATTGTTAGTATATAAAAATGTAACTTATTTTTGTATGTTGATTTTGTATCATACAACTTCACTGAATTTATTAATTCTAACCATTTTTTTGATAGACTATTTAGGGTCTTGTACATGTAAGATAATTTAATCTGCAAACAGAGATCATTGAACTTCTTATGTTCTAACTTGGATACCTTTTATTTATTTTTCTTGAATAATTGCTCTAGCTAGGAGATCCAGAATGATGTTGAGTAGAAGTAGTGAGAAGGGACTCCCTATGATGCTACCTGTGTGCTTCTTATATGCAACTTTTGTTATGTTGAGGTACATTACTTCTCTACTTTAATTGTTGAGAATTTTTATTATGAAAGGATGTTAAATTTTGTAAAATGCTTTGCTAAGCTTCTTGAATCTATACATTTAGTCTTTCCCCAATCTAAAAACCTTTAGCTATTATTTTGTCAAATGTATTTTCTGTACTAATCTCTCCCTCCTCTCCTTCTAAGACTCCAGTAACACAAATTTATATCTTTTGCTCTACAAATTTTCTCCTGTTCTATTCTTCAGATTTGATCATTTCTATTGATTTGCTTTGAAATTCACATATGCATCTCTATCAGCTCCGTTCTGCTTTAGAGTTTCATCTAGTGAATGTTTTATTTCAGACATTATACTTTTAAATTTCCATGGTTGTTCCTGAAGATTTTATTTCTCTACTCAGAATTTCCGTTTTTCTATTCATTTCAAGAATTACACCTTACATCATGGAGCAGGTTTATAACGGCTGCTTTGATGTCTTCGCCTGATCATTCTAACATCTGAGTCATCTCACAATGAGCATCTTGGTTCCTCTGAGAATTGGTCACATTTTCCTGGTTCTTTGTAAGTAAAGTAATTTTTGTTTCACTCTAGAATTTTATATATATATATATATATATATATATATATATATATATATTTAGAGATGGTATCTTGCTGTGTTGCCCAGGCTTAAGTGTAGCTGCTATTCCCAGGTGCAATTATAGTACTACAGCCTTGAACTCTGGTGCCAAGTGACCCTCCTGCCTCAGCTTCCTGAGTAGCTTGGACTACCGAAGTGTGTCACCATGCCTAGCTATCCTGTATATTTTAAATTTAATATTATTTAAAACATGAATGACAGCATCTTTCCTCAAAGAACAGAGAGACTAGAAGATACAAACATGTAAACCAGTAGCTACAACACATTGATAAATGCTGTATGAAATGAATCGCGTCCCTCCAAGATACACATGTTGAAGTCCTATCCCCAACATACCTGTATTTCAAGATAAGCACTACAAGGAGTTAATTAAGGTGAAACAAGGTATAAGAATGGGGTCTTGATCCAGTAGAATTATAAGAAGAGACACCAGAGAGCTCTCATTCTCTGTCTCCACCAAGTGAGGACACAGAGAGAAGATGACCACCACCAAGTCAGAAAGATAATGTGTGCCAGAAAGCAAATCAGTCAACATTTTGATCTTGGACTTCCAATCCTCCAGAACTGAGAAATAAATTTCTGTTACTTAAGCCTCTCAGTCTATAGTATTTTGTTATAGTACTCTAAGAATATACTTAAAGAGGTTATTATTGGACTTAGTCTACCTTTCCTAACATCCTAAGTTCAGTAAGATTTTTCAACAGTAGCTCTTATAGGCAATAATATGGAAAAGTGTATAGTATTCTAATAGATTAAAGATAAATAAAATCTATTTGTATCAGAAAGATCAAATAGAAAAATAAGGGAAGTTTTCTTGAGAAATTTACTGAAAATAAAAATATATACAGTGAAGAACACAGAATTCGATAATACATAGTAGAGGTAGAAGAAAAGCCAACTGTAGGAAAAGCTTATTAAGAACCGATCAGATAGCTGAAAATAGAGAGAAAACAGAGGAAGAATACAGCTGAACTGGACAATGAAATGGTTAATTAACAGTGTCAATGGGTAATAAACACAAGGAATAGATCTCATCACGCTTAAGTAGAAAAGAACCTTGTATTTACAATAAGACAAGAGAAATTAACAGACAAGAGAAAGAAATAAAGGGTATCCAAACTGAAAAGTCAAACTATCCTTGTTTGCAAATGATATTATCTTATATTTGGGATAACCTAAAGAATTCACCAAAAAGCTATTAGAATTGATAAGTAAATTCAGTAAAGTTACAGGATACAAAATCAACATACAAAAAGTCTGCAGCTTTTCTATATGCCAACAGTGAACAATCTGAAAAAGAAATCAAGAAAGTACTATTATTTATCATTGCTATAAGTAAAATACCCAGAAATAAACTTTACAAAAGAAGTGAAAGATCTCTGCAATGAAAACTATAAAACACTGATGTCAGAAATTGAGGAGGATGCAAAATTTAAAAGATATTCCATGTTAGTGAATTGGAATAATATATACATATATATATATTTTTTTTTTGAGACAGAGTTTCGCTCTTGTTACCCAGGCTGGAGTGCAATGGCATGATCTCGGCTCACTGCAACCTCCGCCTCCTGGGATCAGGCAATTCTTCTGCCTCAGCATCCTGAGTAGCTGGGATTACAGGCACGCACCACCATGCCCAGCTATTTTTTTTTTATTTGTATTTTAAGTAGAGATGGGGTTTCACCATGTTGACCAGGATGGTCTCGATCTCTTGACCTCATGATCCACCCGCCTTGGCCTCCCAAAGTGCTGGGATTAAAGGTGTGACCCATCCCGCCCAGCCTGGAATAATATTTTTTAAATGTCCATACTACTCAAAGCAATATACAGATTCAATGCAATCTCTATCAAAATACCAATGACATTTTTCAAAGAAATAGAAAAATCAATCCTAAAATTTATATAGAAACATAAAGACCCAGAATAGCCAAAGCTATGCTGAGCAAAAGGAACAAAACTGGAGGAATCACATTCCCTAGCTTAAAATTATATGACAGAGCTATTGTAATCAAAACACCATGGTACTGGCATAAAAAGAGATACATAGACCAATGGAACAAAATAGATAATGCAGACATAAATCCATAAATCTACAGTAAACTCATTTTTGACAAAGGTTCTGAGAATGTATATTGGGGAAAAGTCTCTTCAATGAATGGTGCCAGGAAAACAGGTTACCCATATGGAGAAGAATGAAACTAGACCCCTCTCTCTCACTGTATACAAAAATCAAATCAAAAGGAATTAAAGACTTAAATCTAAAACCTGAAAGTATGAAATTATTAAAAGAAAACATTGTAGAAACTCTCTGGGACATTGGACTGGGCAAGGATTTCTCGACTGACACCTCATAAGCACAGGGAACTAAAGCCAAAATAGACAAGTAGGATCACATCAAGTTAAAAAGTTTCTGCACTGCAAAGTAATCCACAAAGTGAAGAGATAATCCACAGAATAGGAGAAAATATTCGCAGACTACTCACCTGACAAGGGATTAATAAGCAGAATACATAAGGAGCTCAAACAACTCATTAGGAAAAAAGCTAATCAGTCAACTTGAAATTGGACAAAAAATCAGAATAGATATTTTTCAAAAGAAGAGCTACAGATGGCAAACAGTATATGAAAAGGTTCTCAACATCATTAGTCATCAGATAAATGCAAATCAAAAGTACAATGATATATTATTTCACTCTGGTTAAAATGGCTTTAATCCAAAAGACAAGCAATAATGAATGCTGGTGAGGGTGTGGAGAAAAGGGAACTCTCATATACTGCTGGTGGGAATGTAAATTAGTACAGCCACTATGGAGAAAAGCATAGAGGTTCCTCATAAAACTTGAAATTAAACTACCATATGATCCAGCTATCCCACAGCTAGATATATACCCAAAAGAAAGGAAATCAGTATACTGAAGAGATATCTACACTCCAATGTTTATTGCAGCACTATTCACAATAGCCAAGACTTGGAAGCAGCAGACAAATGAATAAAGAAAATGTGGTAAACATACACAAGGGGGTACTATTTATCCACAAAAAGAATGAGATTCTGTCATTTTCAAAAACATGGATGGAACTGGAAGACACTATGTTAAATGAAAAAAGCCAGGCACAAAAAGACAAACTTTGCTCATTTTCACTTATTTGTGAAAACTAAAAATTAAAAACAGTGAAACTTATGGAGATAGAGAGTAAAATAATGGTTACCAGAGGCCAGGGAGGGTGGTAAGGGTGGGGAGCAGTTAGTAGGGATGGTTAATGGGTACAAAAATATAGTTAGATAGAATAAATAAGATATAGTATTTAATTACACAACGGGGTGACTTCAATCCATAATAATTTATTGTACATTTACAAATAACTAAAAGAGTATAATTGGATTGTTTGTAATGCAAAAAAATTCATGCTTGAAGTGATGGATAACCAATTTATGCTGATGTGATTATTATACATTGTGTGCCTGTATCAAAATATCTCATGTCACCCATAATATATATACTTAATATATACTCATAAAAATTAAAAATTTAAAAAGTGATATCCATCAGAATAAAATTATTTAAAATATCTACTATCAATGAATAAAGCCAAAAATATAATAACATTTGAAAACAGATAATCCACAATTAAGAATACATCTTCATCTCAAGATGGAACATTTATTAATAGTAACTATAAACTAGGCCCTTAAGTAAGTCTTAAAAATTTCAACAAAATCTCCCATACAAATAAAATTCTAACCATAACTCAATTAACACAGAAGTAAATATGAAAAGGTAAAATCTCCTATTTTCAGAGACATAAAAAATAAACTTCCAAATTACTCATAAGACAAAGAATGATCAGAAAAAGTAGAAATTACTTAAAAATGAGTATTAATGAAAATATTACATTACTCAAATAGAGTGAAAGCAATAGTTGGATAAAAATATGAAAATTAATCTGCTGAGTCCAACATAAACATAATACAGCCAAAGAAGATATAACAGAGGAAACAACAATGCTATTAATATACATAAATGATCAGCAAATCCATACATTACTTATTTGAAAGACTCATAAAATTGGCAAATCTCTGGCAATATTGGTTAAGAAAGAAAAAAAATTAATGATCATAAAATAAGAACAAAGAATCAAAAAAGTTTTAGACTTTACATCTCTTTAGGGAGCTTTAATTTGAAAAAACCATTCATCTGAATTTATCTATTTTAAGTATCACATTAAAGAAAATATTACAACTAATTAGAGATTTAAAAATTAAGAGTAGGCCAGGGGCACTGGCTCATGCCTGTGATCCCAGCACTTTGGGAGGCTGAGGCGGATGGATCTTCAAGACCAGACTGGCCAACATGGTGAAACCCCGTTTCTACTACAAAATACAAAAATTGGCTTGGCATGGTGGTTCATGCCTGTAATCCCAGCTACTTGGGAGGCTGAGGTAGGAGAATTGCTTGAACCAGGATCTGGGACGTGTAGGTTACAGTGAGCCGATATTGCACCACTGCACTCCAGCCTGGGCTACAGAGCAAGACTCCATCTCAAAGAAAATTAAGAGTATATGGGGTAGAAAACATTGACAACTTTAAAGAAAATACGGAATAGAATAATATCAAAGAAATCAACAACATGAACAGATCTGAAAGCATAAAGAAAGTGAATTAGTAGCTGATGTACACACACACACACACACACACACACTCACTCACACTCACCATTTGACTCAGAGAGTTTTTACCGGTAACTTCTACCTAATAGATGATGATTCCAAGCTTATGAAAAATTCTTCCAAAGAATTAAAAAAAGACAAAATGCCTGCAATGCATTTTTTGAGGCTAGGATAACCCTGACAACAAACCCCAAACAAGTACAAAAGAGACAAATTTTACTCATAGACACAGAACCCAAACTTCTAAAATGT